ACCTCATACTGTTCAAGGGCAGAGGCCATCTGTGTGGACTGGCCAGCCGTGGGGGACAGCACATGGCAGGCACACAGTGAATGCTTCCTGTCTCTCCCCCTTCCCTCAAGAAATAGTAGTAACACTCTCAGAGTTCAGATTCACATCCCCAAATTTTATCTTGAAAAAACAATTTGAGCCAGCTCTGTGGCCTGATGTTTGAGGAAACCAGATCCCTCATGCACAAACCTGTGGTTCAAGTCCTAGACCCAGCGACTTAAGAAACACACTGGGCCCATGTGTGTGCATGCCCCAAATTCCAATAGGATGGAGAAATCGAGGAGGGATTGTGGCATGACAGTTCCCCATGGGGAGGAGGGTGCTTTCTATCTCTCTCTCTCCAGTTCTCTGCTTCTCTCTGGAGACCACATATGCCCTGCAGCAAAAAATTTTAATTAAAAAATGTATTTAATAGGGTTAAGTGAATTTTTATGTGAAATTATAAAAATATTTTTAAAATCTCTATAAGGGATTTGAAATAAATATCAAACCAACCCATTCATTCTTTCAGGCTTAAAACCCTGTGTAGAGTCCCATATGCAAAGGACTACGCTTCCATGCAGAAGGCTGTAACTTTTCTTTGTAAATCATGTGTGAAAGACACCCCTTGTTTGAGATGGGGCATTGGATAAAGGAAATGCAGAGGTCAGCAGCTGAGGGGTGGTGGAAGGCCTTACACTGGAGGCATGATGATGGGTACTCCCGGCAACGTTGGGTTATTGTGCACCAGCGTAGACTGAGACAGCCACCCTTGGGGAGGAGCGGGTAATCCTTGGACTACTGTCTTTGGTGAGGGTACAGCAGGAGGTAGATGTTTGTGCAATCATAACTTTTTCCTTGTCCAACTCAGTTTCAAGAATACCTGAGAGAAGAGAGAAAACATGGTGAGTTTTCTATGAGTTGGAGTTGTGCAGAATCCTAAGGCATGAGGGCCAAGAGATCCCATGGTGTAGACTCCAGTTCCCCATGAGGGTTGGACCTCTTGATGATGATGCACTTGGTAAGGTGAGCTGAGACCTACTTACCAGAAAGATCTCTTTGCTCTCAGTTGACTCTCTCCAATGAGTCTCTCCATTTGCCTCCCTTTGCTATAGCCTGATGCCTGATTCTTCCTTCAGACAAAAGCCTTCTTCATGCTCCCACCGTCTTTGCTTGTTCTCATAGAAAATAAATGGTCTACTTGTTAGTTATGTGCATCTCTAATCAAAACGTAATTGTCACAGAGACATAGGCTTTGTCTTCATTTGCTGCTTAGAATAATGCCTGGTTCAGAGTTAAGTGCTGAATGTGTATTGAAGGCTGAAGTCTTAGTATTTTACTTAAGAATCTTTGCAGAGAGTAGAACTGGATACTTCTGGGGGTATTCCTAAGTGAAGCCTGCAAAACGTAGCATCTTTAGAAGCGCAGTAGGGCCTGCCCTATTAAATAAATGGAATGTTCTACAAGTTGGTTTGGAGCAGACATTTCATGGGTAGCAATCACATCTCTGCTTTGCAGAAAAGATCTGCATTCTCAGGCAGGGTCACATTGACCACAGGATGTAGCTGTGTTATTTAGAATATGGACAAAGCTATTCCAACAGGATCACTGATATTACTAGTGGGGGTTACAATTTAAAATATTTCAACTACCTAGCAATAAATTTATCAAAGTCTGTGCTGAACCCATACAGGAAAAATTATAAGATTTTATTGAGGGACATAAAAATGAGACAATGGAAAGATATATCGGTTGCTCATGAACTGAAAAAGTCAGTATTGTAAATCACTCAATATTGCTCTAAATTATGAAAAGTATATGCATCTCTGAAAGGCTATATAGAACGGGACTAACCAACTGGAGTTGGCTACCAAAAATGTGGTGTATGATAGGGCCAGCCTATCCATGGCATTGAGGTTAAGGCAGTTAGACTCCACATGGCTTACTACATGGTTCAAGTCCTAGACCCGGCAGTTTGAGAAACATGCCAGGTACATATGCTTGTGTCCCAAAAGGAGAGAAGAAAAAGGAGAAGGGATTGTGGTGTGACCATTTATTATCATCGCTATTTGTTTCTAATTTGACCAGAGAGAGAGAGAGAGAGAGACTTAAGAGAGAGAGACTTAAGAGAGAGAGAGAGAGAAGGAGAGTGAATGCCACCTGCTGGCCAGCTAGGACTTGAACCATAGTCTACCACACGGGAGTCCAGTGCCTTTAACCACCATGCCACCTGCTGGCCCCTAAAACATTTATTTATTATTTATTTATTTGCTATAGCGTGCATGCACGTGCCTGAAAGACAGAGAGAGACAGAGAGACAGAAAGTGAGAAATCACCCCCCTGGGGAATGGCCACACCGCAATCCCTTTTCCTCCATTCTCCTCTCGGGATCTTGGGCATGCACGCACACGTGCCTGGCGTGAGTTTAAGCCACTGGGTCTGGGACTCAAACCGCGGTTGACTACATGGGAGTCCAGTGACTTAGCCATTAGGCCAACTCTGGTCCCCCCAAAACATTTTTAAATTAAATACCAACAAAAGACAATGAGATACATGGGGCGAGTGTTTGCTACGTGCCCAGACCCAAGCTAATTCCTGTGTTTGATGTTCTCTGCCCCGTGACTGTCCCCATTTGATGGTGAGCCCACTGGGGCCAGACATATGATTTCTTGCTCAGATTTGCACACCAGGAGTGGGCCGAGCAGGGCTTTCTTCATCCCAGGTGTGTCCAGTTCCAAAGCCTACACTCCTATCTGTCTCCCCACACAGGACATCATGCTGGCGCGATGCAACGGCCAGTCCCCTCTCAGGCCACCTGGTTGTGGGAGGATGTCCTTGGTGCTAGAACGAGACCCAGCCAGGCCCAGTCCCACTCACTCTCAGGAGACCACGCCCCAGCTAACCTCCTGGAGTAGGACATGTTCTCTGACTTTGATGGAAGAACTCGGTTAAATTCCCTAGTGAAGTTTAGAGAAGGGAGCTGATGCACCCCTGAGCAAGGGATGAGAAGGAGCCCTTCAAATCTCATTAGGAGCCTCAGGCCAACAAATGGAATTTCTCTCTCCGGCTCTTCCTTGAACGTTCATTTGGGCAGATTTATGTTAATCACTTTTTTCCCCCTCGAGAGTGCCAAAGAGAGGGAGAAAGGAGCGAGGAACTCCCATGGGGAATGGTCACTCTGCAATCTCTTCTCTTTTTTCAGAAATTTGGGCACACACATGAGCCCACCATGTTTCTCAAGGTGCTGGGTTCAGGACTTGAACCACATCGTTGGCCATGTGAGGTCCTGCTACCATAAAGTCAGCCGTTCTTCACTACTTTCATTTAACTCAGGAAGTATTGACGTAGGAATGCAGGGGCGCAGGGGTGATCGGGCCCATACCTGCAGTGAGACATGGGTTCTCGTCCCACTCAGGAACAATTAAGAGTCGTGGACACAGAGTAGGTATAACGAGGTGGAGTTTATCAACAAAGCGGTGAGTTTATTAGAGGAGAGGGAAGGGAAAACAGAGCTCCCGAGGGAGGAGTCTCAGAAAATGGGTTGCCAAGGAAGAACTGTGGCAGGGGATTTTTGAGTCTGGAGGAGCTTTGTCCAGACTTAGCTTGGGGGGGGGGGCGTTGTGCATGCATTCTCCTCCTGGTAGCAAGGGCCATGTGCTGGAATCACTTTAGGGAGGAGCCACCTGCACTTCTAACAGAAATGCAAAGGAAATGGCCAAAATGGAAAACTTTACAAGAGTTTTTTCACAAAATCTTTATGCATACACCCAGCTCAGCCCGAAATTGAGTCTCCAAATGCCAGAAGTCACTTATGCATTGGCCACGCAACTGGCAGTCAGCAGGGTGGTTATTGGAAACCAATTTACCCAATTCCTGAAATCCTGATTACCAGGGCCTCAGTAAACGAGGTATGTGCAACCTTACATCTTCCAGAACGTTCCTTACAGAAATGAAATTCAGAACTCCCAAGTGAAAAACGAGTCAGCCCTCAACACCTGTGGGTTATACATCTAGTCAACCCTGGACATGTTCGGCAGTTAGCTAGCGCTGTAGCCTCCTGGTTGAGTTGGACCCTTGCAGATCGTTAGAATCCTGGCCATGGACGCTTAAACACATACCAGGTATGTGTGCACGCCCCACACCTCACCTGGGCATAGAAATGGCAGAGTACTGCAGTGTGAATAAACGCTAAGGCAGAAGTGCTTTCCCCTCCATCTCTAGGAGGCTCAAGAGCCCTGTCAATTTAAAAAACACTCAAGAAGGGGCCAGCAGGGGGCATGATGGTTAAGGGTGCTGGACTCCCACAAGGCCAACTGTGGCTGAGTATCGGACCTAGCTGCTTGCTTTCTCACCCTGTCCCTCTCTGGTCAAATTGAAATTCTTCGAAAAATAAATTCAAGAAAAAACCTGGTCACATATACTTGTCATCATCCCCATAACAGCGCAACACTATTAATACACAGCACACGCTACATTAGCAGAGCTGAACTACAGCATACAGGATGTGCATACACTTTATGCAAATACATCTTTTAAATTTGCCCTAGGGCATGTGCACTTGATGAGTAAAGTTAAATAATTCTCAAAAAAAAAAAAAAAAAGGGAATGAGAAATCACCCAGCGGATGCCATGCTACCATCCCTTTTCTGTTCTCTAGAATTTGGGCAAGCACACACGTGTGGCATGTTTTAGAAGCTGCTGAGTCCTGAACTTGAACCACATAGTCAGCCATATGGAATCCAGCCACCTTAACCTCCACACCAATGGCTGGGCTGGCCCCTACACCTATTTAAGGGTCTTGAGCACCCCCAAGTTCTGGTGTCTGTGGTGGAAGTGCAGGGGGAGGTTCTGGAATCAGCACCTCAGATCAAGCAATGACTGTGTTTTATTCTACAACTGGCTTTAGAAGCAAAACTGATGCTAAGAGACATAAAGCATTTCCAGGCATTTCAATAGGAAATAAAAAACTGAAATGGACAAAATTTTTATAAAGTGTTGTTTATTTTCCTTATCAACCTTATTTCCACTTTTTGTAAGAGTCTGTGAAGAGCAGACTTAAGACCACTCAGTGGTTGTTCCCACCCATTCAGTGGCCTGAGCAGTGGGGGCTGCAGACCAGTCTTCGGTGGCAGGCTGAGCACTCCAGTCTTCTGTTAAGAAAAATACCAAAAAAAGACATGAGCTCTGTCCCCACAGCAGGATCCCCTCCCCACCCTCTACAGCAATATCAGATACAGGTTGCATTCTGCAGACCACTTTCAGAAAGTGTTTCGAAAGGCAAAGATTAAGACCAGTGCATTCAAAAAGCACCTGAACTCAACTTGCCAGGTTACTTGCAGCTAGAACACAACCAAAAGCACCAAGTCTCAAACCTCCTGCTCGATGTGGTGCACCCAGTTCTCGATACATACCAGTAGGGAACTGCTGGATGGGCACGGAGGGCACCTGCACGCCTTCAGACCAGTCTGCGACCTCGGGCTGAGTGGCAGTAAACTCAGGAGCGGGAGCAGTCCATTCACCCTGAAATTCCTCCTTGGTCACAGCCTTTTCAGCTGCAGCCTGTTCCTCCTTTTCAATCTAGTTATAGTAAGAAAGGAAAATGCTTAGAGAGAGACCGATGAAGTGCTGCTAAGCAGCACAGGCCGAGCCACCCAATATGCTTGTGTTCCCACAATCCTGCTTTGTGGAGTAAGCTCACCTCTTCAGGATCTCTGTAGAAGTACAGGTCAGGCATGACCTCCCACGGGTGTTCACGGGAGATGGTGCCACGCATGCGCAGCACTTCCCTGGCCAGCATCCACCACATCAGACCCACCGAATGAGCTCCCTGCAAGAGTACCAAGTTATTAATGATACCCGTCAACCCCAGAGAGCCAGCTACCTCCTTGTCCACCACACATCATTTAGGTCCACATGAAAAAGAGAGAGCAAGGGCCAGCCAGGTGGCATGGTGGTTAAGGCAGCTGGCTGGCTACACTGTTCCAAGTCCTGGTCTGGGCAAAATGGGGGGGACCCCACAAAACAACAAAAGGTTTGTGTATATAAGTGTCCAAAAATCCTGAGAGAAGAATGGAGGGACTGCAGTATGGTCATCCCCCCAGGGGGTGCTCTCACTTTCCCTCTCCGGCGAGCACATCTAACACTTTAGTGAAGACTTCTGCTGACACAGTGAGATCAATCCTCCCCATCAGTGCCTAGATATTAGCATTTAAACAAAACATGCAATTCTTAATGTCCAACCAGGTTCCAGCTCCCCCAATTTGCAACAAGGCACGTGCTCAAGAGACACAGAGAGAAATCATCCCCTAGGGAGGATGATTATTAAGCAATCCCTTTTCCTAAGACATGGGACACACATGCCACCAGCATGTTTGTCAAGCCCCTGAGCCTGAGACACAAACCGCAGTTAGCCATGTGGAATCCAGCTGCCTTAACCACTATGCCATATGTTGTCCCAAACACCAGGATTCTGAGGAAAAAAATGGACCAACACAACCCACCTTTTTTGGATTCATACACCAAAAATCAAGTTGGTCTGAAAACAGAAGTCCAATAATGCTGTCAGCTCTCTTCCAAACTATTATGCATTATTATACTTGTAGCAAGAATTACTATCAAACTCCACTCATCGGGTCAGAGACCCTTGTGGTGTTAGCGAAAAACTTGCCCCTCGTGTAGCACACTACCTACACTTGAGAGTTCATCGGCCAGGCAGCGGCCTCAACTCCAAGCTCTAACAATGTGCACAGGACAGTATCATTCATTTGCAGACTAGTCTAGACCCCCAGGTCGTTACCTTGTTGTTGCATGGGATGGCAATGTCCACATAGCGCAGAGGAGAATCCGTGTTGCACAGGGCAATGGTAGGTAGGTTGACGTAAGACGCCTCTGTGAGAGGCTGGTGGTCGGCCCTGGGATCAGTCACCACCAGAAGACGCGGCTCCCGGAAGGCTGCCTGGATCTGGTTAGTGAAGGTTCCAGGAGTGAAGCGACCAGCAATAGGAGTGGCTCCAGTGGCAGCAGCGAACTTCAGCACAGCCCTCTAAGAAATTAAATTGATGGTGAGTAGCACTCCAGAGATGGTTACCACACGAACTCACCATGTGCTGACACCTTGTACAGCAGGTTGTTGCACAAGCAGCAGCCTACTTAATTAGAACCTTTAAATACCCCTTCCTCAAATGCAAAAGCATCAAATTAAACACAGAATTCCTGGCTTCTAGATGAACTGAAAAATACTAACTGCAGCCAGAAAAGGTGTTAAGCATCACGCCCTATCACTGGTGTCAGGCTCACCCCTGGATGCACCAGACCACACTGCTCGGTTTCAAGTACGAAGTGGGCCATACTGTGAGTGACAGGCAAGTTACTCACGTGTCTCCCACCTCCTCAGAGGGTTTCGAGAATGAGATGAGCTAATACACCTAACTAAACAGCCCCTACCATCCAGTAAGCACGCCTGGCCTCTGGTCAAATCGGATCACAGTACCCAACATAAAACGCACCTAGCTCTTACCTGCCTTCACTTTCCCTCTAGACACTTCCCCTATCCCTCCAAAAAGGAAGTCTTACTGTTTCTGTGCTATACCCAAGCACCGAGCAACACTGTTTGGCCCAAACTAGAGGCTCAGTAAATTTCTGCTGACGCAAGCATGACTTTCAGTAGTAATTATACCTACCCTCCATAATGTACCAAACCACAGGGGTCTGGTCATAGATCTGCCTTTCAAGAATAACCTCCCATAAAAGCACTCATGAGGCATACAAAATCATTGATAAAGTTCTATTTAAGACACCCTCTAGTTTTCTAAGTAGAAAAACAAAGAATTACCAAATAAAACCAGGGCAGGCAAGATTTAAACTTTCACCTATTTTTTTTTTTTTCAAGATTTCTTACTCATGCAGGCAAAGATTCCTAAAAATAAACATAGGCTGTTGAGACTTGGATAAGACAAGGACTTACTGTAACAAAACCTTTCTGGAAAAATAATAGCTACTGTCTTATTTTTTTTTGTCCCAGTGCTACTTAACAAAGTTTGCTTGCGAAAAAATGTGATGACCCCTTTAATAGAATTATTTGTAGATCTTTAGTGGCACAGGTAAATACAGAATGGAATATGCAGCAAATTTCAAATATTAAGACTAAGATTGCTCAGACTAAAAGATTCCTGAACAGTGGAATTAAGGAGTATTTTTTATTCTTTCCTATTTACCCCAAAATTTCAACAAACCTGTCCAGTGTTCCTGGAAGATATGACACTGACGTCAGCAGGGTTTTCTATGGCAACAATGGCACGAGCTGCCAGCAGAAGCTTCTCCCAGGTCCTCTTCAGGTTTATGATGTAGATGCCTAGGTGAGAGCCAAAGTACCTAGGTCAAAGTGCACCGACCGAGCTGTGCTCACGGATGCTCTACAAAGGCGAGCAATGTGGCAGCAAGTACTATCAAACTCCAGTCATAGAGGCGAGCCCTACTGGTGTTAGCGAACATCCTGCCATTAATGTAGCACACTTCCGACACCCAGGAGTTCACTGGCCAAGACTGGCCTCCACCCTGAGCTTTAATAGTGTGCAGCTTTGATTCATTCAGTTAGCAAAGTCCATTTTTCCTCTTAACAGTCAGCACCCCCCACCCCAACTGAAATCCTTACCCACATCCTAGGGCTCTTGCCATCTTCCCTCTTGAACATTTGCATCATCCTAAAACCCCTCTACAGCATGACACTCCAGACTGAAACACTCGAGGCTCCACCCCTACGCTGATGCCAAACTGTCTATTCCTACCTCCTGTCTCACTTTCAGAAATCAGTATAATATGCCCATCTTACTACTGAGGAGGTAGAAAGGACTATTAAGAGGTAATTAAAAAGTCCAGCTAATTGTTTATTGAAACCTGCTAAGCCAATCTGATAACTTACTAAAATCAAAAACTCTCCCTCATAGCCAGCTGGTGGCATGGTAGTTAATACACTGGACTCCCATTCTCACATGGCCAACTACAGACTGAGTCGCAGACCTGGTGGCTTGAAATTCACTCTAGGCATGTGTAGGGTTGTGTGTGTGTTCCAAAGTCTCAGAAAACTAGAGAGGAGACCACAGCGTGGCCACTTTCCCACTTTTCCTCACTATCCCTGTCTTCGGGGAGGGCACGCATTCCATGGCAAAAAAACTTAAAAACCCTAACCAAACCAAACCACCCTGTTTTGCTCTCAGCCTGATGCTTTGTGTCATTTTTCACAGAAAGTGCAAGGAGATGAAGAGCCAACCTAGAAATGAACAATGTGGAACGTTCCACCCCAATCACAAGCTAACACGTGGTTTTCAAGATCTATTGCTTCACTGCACCCCTTAGCTAAGACAGACTCCTGCCCCAGAGATAAATTACTTGACTGGCCCCAGATAAAAATTAACCTGATTGATGCTTTTCTATAGATGGCTGTAAGCCCCCAGAGCATCCCCTTTCCCCTATAAAAGCTCCTGGAAATTGACTGAGAAATTGAAGATACTTTTCCACCTTCACAACCCGAATCCTAGGACCTAGGGGTCAGATCAGCCTGAATGGCCTTTATGTAATTTCCCATCAGAAAAGGAGGCTGTGGGACCTTTGGCCAGAACCCTACAGCCAGAGCCCTTCCTTACTAGTAGCCAACGCCACCAATAGGCTGACAGGGTCAGTGACAAGCAAGCTAACCCAAGTACCCACCTCTCTTGTGACCTTACCCCTCCCATATAAACAGGTCAGTCTCCTCCACGGGAGGTGCTTCAGACCCCTGATCGCTCTTTCTCAATAAACTTTCCTCTCCCTCTTGGGATGGTGCTGTCTCCTGATTGAGTCTTACTCCAAACCCTAACACCAAGCATCGAAATTCATACTTAAAACCAGTCAACAGGATAAGGCGTTAAAGCAATGACCAACCATCACTTTTCCTCTTGTAGATGTACTGCTCCATTTGGAAGTCAAGGTTGGTGCCACCTAAGTGGGTTCCTGCGGCAAGGAACTTGAGGACATCCTCCTCCTTCATCTGCAGGACATCAAGGGCGCCGGACATCGTGAAAGTTTCCCTTTAAGTTACGACGGGAACCTGAAAAACGACAGTTAACAGTGTTATTTTCATCCTAAGAATGAGTTAAGAGGAGTAGTGGTGTTAGATTGAGCCCTGAACAGCCTGTTAGAAAATGAGGACTGGTTGCAGCAACCTTCCGCCAGAATCCCCTAGCCAGAGCCCACCGACACCCACAGGTGGGCGATAAGGCCACAGCGACAAGCTAATCAAAGAATCAGCCAACCTTGTGACCCTCTCCCTTCACCCCTCCCATGTCACATCTCCTGTAGCCTGGGCTGACACCACACCCCCATCAGGCCCCCAGTGCTGTATTCTCCTTATGATTTCTTTTTTCTCTTGAGACGACCACCTCCCTAGCCTTACTCTGGACCCCAGTAAGTGGTGCAGTCTAACTAGTTGAGTTAGGTCAGCATCACATTTAAAAGCACCCAAGAACTACACCTCCTAGTGTCCACACTGAGCTTACGGTATGACAAAAAAGAAAAGGAAAATAGTAATAAAACCTCAGCAGGTACATGCCCTATACCGCAAAACGGCAGGAGGTGTGGACTGCAGAATACCCAGGTAACGCAACCAGAGAACAGTCGTTTCGAGTTGAATCGGAATTCAACACTTCTCAACGTACACAGGAAGTTAACTTACGGATGCGCAATCAGATGCAAAAGGTACAGTTATGTCTGAGAAAGTTCAAACTGAGAGAAGTAAAAAAGGCAGATATCAACGGGTTCCCCACATTTCCCGAGTAGATTGTTGGTGGGTGCCCCAAAATTACTTCTCCGTGTTATCACAAGCAGCTTTTCTTCCGACTGTGCCATGAACCTCAACTGCCGCCCTTGGAGGCGAGAACAGGAAATTCCGATCAGCCCAAGCCTCCCGTGCAAATTTGCTCTGGGACTCGACTCACCGCCGAGTCTCCGGAACGCAGGGCTGGACGCCGGAACTGTAGCCCACCTTCTCGCTCCCTGCGGCCGGCTCGAACCCCAGCCCTGTGCCTCGCCGTGCCACAACCTCCGCGCGCTCCCAGGGCATTGTGGGAACCCGCAGGCCCGAGCGGGACCACGTGCGGGTACTCGGCCTGGGGCGGAGCCGCCTGCGCAGGGCCGAATCGCCCGGCTGAATTCCCTTCTCAACCCGCACCTCTTAGCAAAGCGGGAAGCTCATTTGAGGGGGCCTCAGGGACTTCACGCACCCACCGCGAACTCACCCAGAACAACGCCGTATGGACCCTTGGGCGGGTAGCGCGGAAAGGACAGCCGACCGGAAATGACGTCCTTATATACTCCTTTGCCAGCCAATGGCAAAGAAAGCTGAGCGGAAGGTTGGGCGGAACTGGCGTGGTGAGTAGTCAGGGCTGTGCTTCTCCTTCCGAGAGGCGGGCACTTCTGTGGGCGTGACTAAAGGAGGCGGGCTTGCGTCGTGGGCCGGACGCCGGTGGGCGTGGCTAAGGGAGGCGGGCTTGCGTCGCGGGCAGGACGCCTGTGGGCGTGGCTAACGGAGGTGCGTGCGGACTCCTGTGGGCCTAGTGAGAGGGGGCGGGTTTGCGTCGCTGGCGGGACTCCTGTGGGCGTGGCCAAGAGAGGCAAGCTTGCGTCTGACTCGGACTCCTATGGGCGTGGCCAAGGGAGACCTGTGGGCGTGGCCAAGGGAGGCGGGCTTGCGTCGCGAGCAGGACTACTGTGCGGGCGCTAGGGGCGCGCTGGGGTTGTCGGGCCCACAGGGTGGGTCTGCAGTTTCCCAGCCATTTGTAGCTGTCAACTTGAGCTGGCACCTCACGTAAGCTAAGCTCCAGTCTCTACCTATAACAGAGGGCTTGTGGGACACAACACACCTAAATTCAGTAAGCGAACGTGGAGAATTTATTTTCATTTTTTGGAGAACAATTTAGCAGCACCTAATTCTAACTTGTTTTTTTTTTTAATGAAAGTTTTTGCCATAGGGCGTGTGTGCTCGTGGGAGACAGAAAGACAGTGAGAAGGAAATGAGAAATTACGTCTTGGGGAGATGGCCACGCAATGGGCCATCGCAGTGGGATTGGCATCCATTCTCCTCCAGGGATTTTGGGCACGCCTGCTCACCGGCTGGTGTGATTTTCAAGCTCCCGGGTCCAGGACTGGAACTATGTCCACGAATGGGAGTTCAGTGCCTAAACCACCATGCCACCTGCTGTCCCTTAATTCAAATGTAAAATGTTCATTCATGGGAAGTTTTCCGGAAGAAAATAACAAAAAGGACAAGACTATACATATGTATGCATGAGGATTGTTTTTCGATAGTAGAAAAGAAATACAGTATCTGTCATAGGATGTAGTAAATAAAATATATTCAGTTCAATACAATACCATGCAACCATTTTTAAAAATTAAAATGTGTTGGACCAGCAGGTAGCGTAATGGCTATGTCACTGGACTCCCACGTAGTCGACCACGGTTTGCGTCCCGGACCCGGTGGCTTAAAACTCACGCCGGGCACGTGTGCATGCATGCCCAAGATCCCGAGAGAATGGAGGAGAAGGGATTGCGGCATGGCCATCCCCCCTGGGGGGTGATTTCTCACTTTCTGTCTCTCTATCTCTCTCTGTCTGTCTGGCGAGTGCACGTGCCCTATAGCAAAACCTCTTTAAAAAAATTAAAATGTGTTATGTGATAGAAAAAAATTGCAGGAGGGCAATTATGAAACATTTTCAAGCTTGTGCATTAAAAAGTGACAGTAAAGAAATAGCCAGTAACCAAAATAATTTCAGTAAGTCTCAACTCTACTTACAGTTAGAATCACTTGGGTTAGTGTAATGGCTATGTCGGTGAACTCCCATGTAGTTCACCGTGGTTTGAGTCCCAGACCCAGTGGCTTAAACTCACACCACGCATGTGTGCGTGTGTGCCCAAGATCCCAAGAGAATGGAGGAGAAGGGATTGTGGCATGGCAATCTCCCCTGGGGGGGGTGATTTCTCGCTTTCTGTCTCTCTGTCTTTCTGGCGAGCGGGCATGTGCCTTTTAGCAAAAAACCCCTCCAAAAAAAAAAAAAAAATCACTTGGAGAACAGTTACAGATATCATGCCCAACTGCCAAAAAACCTAAGTTTTAAAAATAGTTCCCAGATAACCTGAATGTGTAGCCAGGAGAGAAACACTGATGTTAGAGTAGAGAAACAGAGCAATTTTAACACCTGCACTTTTTAGTCTTTTTGAAATTTTCTATGAGGAAATTAAAACAACACAAAACTCCATTTTAATAAAATTGGCATAGAAGAAAAGACATAAATTTAGTCATTATGGCTTTAAGCTTCCCTAGAAACTGCTAAAAATTTCAGGAGACATTATGGCTCTAAAACAATAAAAACTTTAAAAATAGCTTTTTTAAAAACTTTTTTTTGAGAGAGAGATTTCTGCTATAGGGTGCGTGCGCTTGGCAGACACACAGAAAGTGAAAAATCACCCAACAATCCCTTCTCCACTCTCTGCGGATTTGGGGCATGCATGCACATGCGCCCAGTGTCAGTTTTCTTTTCTTTTTTTAAAGAGAGATTTTTTTCTATAGGGTATGTGTGTCCTTACCAGAGACACAGAGAGACAGAAAGTGAGAAATCACCTCCCAGGTAGGATGGCCACACCGCAGTCCCTTCTCCTTTCTCCTCTCTGGGTCTTAGGCAAGTACGCACACACACCCGGGGTGAGTTTTAAGCTGCCAGGTCTAGGACTCTAACAGCAGTCGACTACAGGAAAATCACACCAAGTGCATGTGTGTGTGTGCCCAAGATCCCAGGAGGAGAGGGGATGGTGATTTCTCACTTCCCCCTCACCGTCTCTGGCTCTTTTTCTCTCCCCGGCAAGCTCAAGTGCCCCTATGGAGAAGAAAAAAAAAAAACATGAAAAACATAGTCAACTATGTGGGAGTCCAGAAACTTAACCATCCCACCATCTGCTGGTCCCCCCAGCATGAGTCTTAAGCTGCCGGTTCTGGGATTCAAACCACTATCAACTCCAGGGGAGTCCAGTGACATAATCATTACGCAATCTGCTGATCCCTGTCTTATTAATAGTTCATGCACTGGATTCCCAGCTTCGCCACATGCTAACGACAACTCTGAACAAGTGACTTGACCTCTTCCAGGAAATAAAGAGTTGTTGATATTGGGACCAGCAGGTAGGGTAGTGGTTAAGGTGCTGGACTCCCACGTGGCCAACCATGGTTCGAGACCTGGACCTGGCAACTTAAAACTCATGCCAGGTATGTGCATTTGTGCCCAAAATCCTCAGAGGAGAATGGAGAAGGAACCATGGTGTGACCATAGCCCCAGGGGTTAATTTCTCATTCTGTCTCTCTTTGTATTTCTGATGAGCGCACATGCCTATGGCAAAAAATACCTCTTAAAAAAAACCAACCAAACAAACAAACAAAAACAAGCACGATATAAAAACAGTACACTGGGGCACCAGCAGGTGCTGTGGAGTTAAGGCACTGGACTCCCACATGGCTGACTATGGTTCAAGTCCTGGACCTGTTGGCTTGAAAAGCATGCCCAGGCACATGTGCGTGTGTGCCCAAAATCCCAAGAAGACAATGGAGAAAAGGGGGTTGGGGAGAAGGGTGACTTCTCACTTTCTCTCTCACTCTTTCTTAGTGTCTAGTGAGAGCGTGCACCCTATGGCAAAATAAATGAATGAATAAATTTAAAAAATAAAAGTTCATGGGCCAAGCCCACAGATGCAAAGTTGATTCCATTACACATTCTACTTTTACTGGTTCCTCATATACCCAGTAGTTGGAATTCAGTGGGCACCAGTGTCATTCAGCTGTAAGACGAAAGCCTGCCTGCTCAGAAGAATGTCAAGTCCAGCAGTTGGCGTAATGGCTATGTCGCTGGACTCCCATGTAGTCAACTGCGGTTCAAGTCCCAGACACGGTGGCTTAAACTCATGCAGGGTGCCTGTGCGTGTGTGCCCAAGATCTCGAGAGGAGAATGGAGACGGGACTGTGGCGTGACCATCCCCCCTGGGGGTTGATTTCTCACTTTGTCTCTCTGTCTCTCTGTCTTCCTGGCGAGCACACACACCCTATTGCAAAAACCTCTCCAAAAGAAGAAAGCAGAAGACGCTGTAGAACACGATGGTCACCCCAGGAAAGCAGGACGAATGTCATGGGGAGGCACGCTCCACCCCAGTCCTGGAGGGTGGAGAGAGCGCTGGACGGAAGAGCCCACAGACCTGGGTTCAGCCCCTGACTTGCCCCTGCTAGTATCAGCCAGGACATTGGTCCTCGCTGAGCCGTGGTAAGACACATTAAGATGAAGGGGTCGGATTACGGCATCTCCAAAGTATCCAGGAGCTCCACAGTGCCAGGCTTGGTCGTAAGCACAACTGTCACCTGCATCCTCACTGAGTCTTGAGTCCCTTTCATTCAAGGGCCATATCATGCTCATTTTGGGACTTTTTGCCAATGTTTATTCAGAAAAGTACCTTAAAACTGAGGCGTGTTAACCAAGATTTGTTAATAAACAATTTTTCAGTTAGCGCTAGCTAAAATGGGATTCTAGCTGTAGTTGGTTAGGTCTACCTTCATAGTTACACATGCCTGAGAAAATGACAGACTATATTCTTAGAGAAACTGAGCAATGTAAGATATTGTGGGGGGTGGCAGGTGGCATGGTGGTTAAGGTGTTGGACTCCCATGTGGCTGACCATGGTTCAAGTCTCAGACCTGGCAGCTTGCTTTCTCAGTCTCTCCCTCCCTCCTCTGGTCAAACTGAGTAATAATAAAATAAATCTTAAAAATAAAATAATAACAAAAAGATATTGGGGGGCTTGCAGGTGGTGTGGTGGTTAAGGGCACCAGACTCCTACATGGCCGACAGTGGTTGGAGTCCCAGGCCTGGCAGCTTGCTTTCTCACTTTCCCCCCTCTTTCTCTCTCTCATTGTGTCCCTCTGGTTGAATAAATAAATAAGTGAATAAACTTACATCAAATAATTTTTTAAATAATAATAAAAAGATATTGGGAATGGGACCAGCAGTTAGCGTAATGGCTATGTCGCTGGACTCCCATGTAGTCGGCCGTGGTTCGAGTCCCGGACCCGGTGGCTTAAACTCACACCAGGCACGTGTGCGTGCGTGCCCAAGATCCCGAGAGGAGAATGGAGGAGAAGGGATTGCGGCGTGGTCACCCCCCCTAGGGGGTGTTTTCTCGCTTTCTATCTCTCTGTCTCTCCGTCTGTCTGGTGAGCGCAAGCGCCCTATACCAAAAACATCTCCAAAAAAAAATATATATATTGGGAGTATGGTCGAAATATCAGCTGAAATTGTCTGTAGTCAAAAAAAAAACTTTTTAAGGTTTTTTTCTTCCAAGAGTTTATCTCACATGAGGTGAAAAATGAAAGCAATATAAAGTGTCCACATTAAATCTTCTTTGTTTATAAGAAGTAGAAAATAGTTACCATACTTTGATGAGATGAGAAATACAGTAGCCTTCTTATCTGTAGTTAACTGATACAAAAGCTAATGGAAAATTCCAAAAGTAAAACCTCATACGGTTTACATTATACACTATTCTGGGTAACACGGTGAAATCTTTTTTTTTGTTTTTTTATTTTGGAGAGGTTTTCACTATAGGGCGCGTGCGCTCGCCAGACAGACAGAGACAGACAGACAGAAAGCGAGAAATCACCCCACCCCCCAGGGGTGACGGCCGTGCTGCAATCCCTTCTCCATTCTCCTCTCGGGATCTTAGGTGCACATGCACATGTGCCCAGTGTGAGTTCTAAGTCACTGGGTCTGGGGCTCAAACCACGGTCGACTATGTGGGAGTCCAGCGATGGGACCATCATGCTACCTGTTTCCCCACCACTCAATTTTTTTTTAATTGCCAGAGAACATGTGCACTTGCCAGAGAGGAAGAAACTGCCCTCCGCAGTGAGGCTGATCTGCCATAATTTTTCTTCTCCTGTTGGGATTTTAGTCACATATGTATACATGCCTGGCACCCAGCCGCCAGGGCTGGGACTCGAACTGCTGTCAGCCATGTGAAATCTGAGCTTTTCTAACCACTAAGCTACAGAGATAGCCCTCTAGGCACCACTTCAATGTCAAGTCTAAGGGCGAGCAAGTTTTCCGCTTGGGCTGCCTGGATCAGTTTCCCCGTTCTCGGCCACTAAACCACACCTCTCCTCTTCTGCTCGTCTCATAAAGTAGCAGTTCTTTCCTAAGTTTGAAAGAAAAAACCTGGGCACCTTCCAGAATGGTACACAAAACGAGACGGACAGTAACATGTGTCGTGGCAGATGTGGGGACACTGGAACCCTCACACACTGCTGCGAGGAATGCAAAATGGTGCGAGCACTTGAAAACAGTTTGACAGTTCTTCACAGTTATTTTTTTTAATTATTTATTATTTATTGATCCATTCATGTATTTATTTTAATTTGACTAGAGAGGGACAGAGTGAGAGAGAGCGAGGGAAAGTGAGAAAGCAAGCCACCAGCTCAGAAAGCAGTGACCATGTGGGAGTCCAACGCCTTCAACCACCAAGCCACCTGCCCATCCCAGTTCTTCACAGTTTTTAACAGAGTTGCCACCTGGTCCAACAATTCCACTCCTAGGTATATAGCCCAGAAGAAATAAAATAACACGTGTCTACATAAACTCTTATGTACAAATGTTCATAGCAGCGTTATTCAAAATAGCCTAAAGTGGAAACAACTCAAATGTTTATCAACTCATAAATGAATAATGCATGTGCACAAAATAGTATATAATTTAGCCCTTAAACAAGACAAAACAAAGTATGGAACATGCCACGTCATGGATGAATCTCGAAAACATTATATTGGGCCAGTGGTTTAAGCCTAGTGGCTGACTACAATTCAAACGTCGGCCCTCGCAGCTTTGAAAAACACACCAGGCATGTGTGCGAGTATGCCCCCAATGCCAGCAGGACAAAGGGAGAAGGGCTTGCGCTATCGCTACAACCCACTAGGGGGCGCTCTGCCCTCTACGCCACTGGCAAGTGCGCGAGCTCCCTAGCAAGTAAAAACAAAAAGGCAAAAATACCCGAAAACATTACGCTAAGAGAAAGATGCCACATGCAAGGCTGTACGCTGCGTGATGCTGTTTATGTGAAGTATTCAGAAAACGCAAATTCACAAAGACACTGAGCAGATCAGTGGTGGGCTGAGGCTGGGAATGGAAATTGATTATCAATGGGCATGAGAGATCTCAGTGGGCAATGAAAACGTTCTTGGGATCGGGAACCAGCAGTTAGCGTAATGGCTATGTCGCTGGACTCCCACGTAGTCGACCGTGGTTCGCGTTCCGGACCCGGTGGCTTAAAACCCACGCCGGGCGCATGTGCGTGCGTGCCCAAGATCCCGAGAGGAGAATGAAGGAGAAGGGATTGCGGCGTGACCATCCCCCCTGGGGGGTGATTTCTCGCTTTCTGTCTCTATGTCTCTCTCTGTCTGGCGAGCGCACACGCCCTATAGTGAAAAACCTCTCAAAAAAAAAATGTTCTTGGGATCAGCAGTTGGCGTAATGGTTACATCACTGGACTCCCACATACTCAACTGTGGTTTGAGTCCTGGACGCCAGGCGCATGTGGGTGTGTACCCAAAATCCCAAGAGGAGACTGGAGGAGGAGGGATTGCAGGGTGACCATCGCCCCAGGGGGTGATTTCTTGCTTTCTGTCTCTCTGACTCTGTCTCTCTGGCAAAGCACACATGCCCTTTAGCAAAAATCTCTAAAAAAAAAAAAAAGAGAGAGAGAAAGAAGAAATGTTTTCAACCTGATTTAGGGTGATAGTTGCACCCTTCAGTGAAGTTGCAGAAATCACTGAACTGAATACTTCAGGTGGGTGCATGATACTTGGATCATAAGTGAACTAAGGCAGCTTTGAAAAAATTAAGTTTGGGGCCAGCAGGTGGCGTGGTGGTTTAGGTTGCTGGACTCCCACTGGCCAACCGTGGTTCGGGTCCAGGGCCTGGTGGCCTGTGTTCTCACTTTCCCTCCCTCTCTCTCACTTCGTCCCTCTCTGGTCAAATTAAAATGGATAAGTAAAGTTAAATAAAATAATTAAGAAAAGAAAAAGAAAAAGTTAGGTTTCGGGGACTGGTATGGGTCAAGAGCTGGCCACCCTAGAACTACTGGTCATTTTAGAACGGAGTGATGACACTAGTTAGTGCTTCCTCGTACTCATCTGAACTATTGCTGCAGGAAAACGCCAGGGCAACTCAAGAGTTCAAACAGTACAGGGGCCAGACCAAGTATTTTTATTTCGGTTTGAAGGCTAGGAAGACTGAGCCTCTGACAAGTAGATTAGGAACCAATTAAATAATGACACCTGTCCTTCATCCTCACATCACCTCCGACAGTCTGCAGCCTGGAGACAGTGACTCCTCTCCTCAGACTCATGGTCCCCGGGCACAGCAGGTACCAACAGCGTCTCTGGCTTCCTTGGCTGAGAACGCATCCAGCGAGGCACCGCGGTGTAGGCGGGAAGCCCCCGCTGAGCTCATGCCTTCCCAGGTACACACCTTCCCTGACGGCCCCAGTGTGCCCTGTGTACTGAGGGCTCCCCTTCAGGGAGACTCTGAAGGCTCGTCTGTTCGCTCCTTGCATGGGGTCACAAAAGGCAATGGCGTATCTGCCCGGTTTCCCAGGAGCACCTCGTCTTCCTCCAGGACTGAGAGAAGAAGCCGCTCCTAGCAGAACCAAGCAGAGCAATCGACTCCACCTCCGAGCCTCTGTTGGGTCAGGACTTCAGGCCCATCTTGGCCATCATTTCTTCATAGACCGTCCATGCCATCGCTGCCATCAGAGTTCTGCGGAGGGCCCGGGGCACACTGCCTTGGAAGAAGCCACGCAGCCCGTAGTCCTACAATGACAACAAACGTCAAAACTCCAGAAGCAGGGGACCAGCAGTTAGCATAAAGGCTACGTCGCTGGACTCCCATGTAGTCGACCACAGTTTGAGTCCCGGACCCGGTGGCTTAAACTCACGCTGGGCGCGTGTGCGTGTGTGCCCAAGATCCCAAGAGGAGAAAGGAGGGGAAGGGATTAAGGGATTGCAGTGTGGCCAGCCCCCCTCGGGGGTGATTTCTTGCTTTCTATCTCTCGCATGCGCCCTATAGCAAAAACCTCTCCCAAAAAAAAAACCTCCTGAAGCAAAGTTGTGGTAACAATGAATGATCTACTGACGTCAGAGTGAGGGGTTCTGTTGTCCACTTTGGGACTTTTGTTTCTAAACTCTATGCCAAAACTATGAATAGGTCAAAGGAGATAACCGACAAACTTAAAAAGATTAACTTGCAGGCCAGACGGAGTGGTGGTTAAGGTGGCTGGATCACACATGCCCTATTTCATGGTTCAAGTCCCAGATCCAGTGGCTTGAAAACCACTCTGAGAATATATACGTGCATGTCCAAAATCCTGAGAGGAGAATGGAGAAGGGATTGCAGCATGGTCAATTCCCCTGGGGGATGATTTCTCACTGTCCTTCTCTTTCTTGCTCTCTCTCTGGCAAGTGCATACATCTTATTACAAATGCTACAAAAAAATTCTTGGGCCAGCAGGTAGCATAGTGGCTAAAGATGCTGGATTCCCACATGGCCAACTGCAGTTCGAGTCCTAGACCTGGTGGCTTGCTCTCTCACTTTTCCTTTCTATAATCTATTAATAGATATCTATTAAGACATATTAAGAGAGGTTGTAAGAGCACAATCTTATAATCCACTGGAACTTCCTGGTGGCTCTACCTTTATACGAATTAAGACTCAACATTTCTTCCTTTTCCCTCATAATCTGGATTGATTTACAATTTCACATATACCAAAGAATATAGTATTTTTCAATTTTATGATTTTAGATATAGAGAGAAAAAAAAAAAGCAGACAACCTAAACAGTGTGGAGAATATTAGATTCACAAATCCATTTACCTTTTTTTTTTTTTTGAGAGAGATTTTTTGATTATAGGGTGCTTGTGCTCGCTAGCAAGACAGAGACAGAGAGACAGAAAGGGAGAAATCACCCCCTGGGGGGGATGGCCATGCCCCAATCCCTTCTCCTCCATTCTCCTCTCAGGATCTTGGGCACGCACGCACATGCACCCGGCGTGAGTTTTAAGCCACCAGGTCCGGGACCTGAACCGCAGTCGACTACATGGGAGTCCAGTAACGTAACGATTACGCCATCTGCGGGTCCCAAGCCTGTTTACCTTTAACAAGACTCTGGTTTGCAGTAAGTGCATGCTCCAGGGGGGCTAATCCAGGGGCTGTTACATCTGCTTTACATCTACTGTACTTATTATCGCCAATAACACATCTGTCTTTTTAAATTTCTTTAAAGAATTATTTTATTTAAATTTCATTTATTTAGTTTTATTTTTATTTGACCAGAGAGGGACAGAGTGAGTGAGAGAGAGGGAAAGTGAGAAAGCAAGCCTCCAGGTTCGGGACCCAAACCACAGTCGGCCATATGAGAGTCCAGCACCATGCCACCTGCCGGCCCCTATACCGTCTGTCTTTTTGCATTAAATTGTTAGATCAAAATAATGGGTTTGCGGGGTTTTTTTCTCACTATATTTTGTCCTATTCCTCCACTAGAGCACTCCATCTACCCAGCTCCCTGACTCAGGAGGTCTAGGGGAGAGTCCAGCAATCTGCATGTTAAACAGGTATCACAGGGAGTCTTGTGTGTGTGTGGGGTGAGGCAGATTTTTGCTATAGGGCGCATGTGCTCACCGGAAAGAGAGACAGAAAGAGAGAGACAGAAAGAGAGAAATCACCCCCCCCCCCGCAATCCCTTCTCCTCCATACTCTTCACGGGATCCTGGGCACACGCACACACGCACACACACCCAGTGTGAGTTTAAGTCACCAGGTCCAGGATTCAAACTGCGGTTGACTACATGGGAGTCCAGCGACATAGCCATTACGCTAACTGCTGGTCCCTTCACAGGTAGTCTTTAATGAAAATGCTCCTCCCCTCAGAATACAGGTTGTGCAGTTCTCAAAGTTGGCAATGCACTGGAGTGAACAAGGTGCTTTGAAAAGTGCTGAGGTCTTATTGCTAAGAGACTCTGAGATACTCCGCCTGGATTCTGACCTGAAAATGCAGATTTTTATAAGTCCCTTTTATAAGGAAGCCCAGCCTCTGTGGTGCCACTGGTAGCCCACGAGACTGTGGACCTGGAAGCCATGTGTTGACTGCAGCTTGATCCCTCCCCATCCCATGATGTGCTGAGACACACCGGGTGTATGCACCTGTGCCCAGGACCCTAGAGGGCTGGAGGACTGGAAGAAGGGGACCAGGGTGTGATCAAGCCCTGCGGAGGGTGTGTCTCTCTTTATCTCTCTCTCCCATGCATGAGTATGCTCCCTGCATGGGGGGAAAAAAAGAGAAAAAAAAAAAAAGGAAGCTCCCCAGGCAATTCTAATGTGAATGAGGGATGAGAACTAATACGAGAGAGAGAGAGAGAGAGAGTGTTTACTTTTTTTTTTTTTTGGAGAGGTTTTTTTGCTATAGGGCACGTGTGCTCGCCAGACAGACAGAGACAGAAAGACAGAAAGCGAGAAATCACCCCCCAGGGGGGATGGTCATGCCGCAATCCCTTCTCCTCCATTCTCCTCTCGGGATCTTGGGCATGTGCACACGCTCATGGCGTGAGTTTAAGCCACCGGGTCCGGGACGTGAACCGCGGTCGACTACATGGGAGTCCAGCGACATAGCCATTACGCTAACTGCTGGTCCCTACTTATTTAGGCTTTTACTCTGGGGTGCGCGCACTCATCAGACTGAAAGTGAGAAATCACTCCTCGGAGAGATGGCCATGCCACAATCCCTCTCCTCCACTCTCCTCTCACGTTTTAGGCACGTGTACATGTGCTCAGTACATTTCTCAAGCTGCCAGGTCCAGGACTTGAACTGCAGAGTTAGCCAAGTGGGATCCAGCACCTTTACTACCATGCCCTCTGCTGGCCCTGTAGAGACAGAGATCTTTGACCACAACCTGAACCACTGCGTATTCTATGGTCTTACTTTGAAAATGAGTGTCACTGCTTGGCCAATCCATTGGAATTTCCTGGGAGAGAGTTGCATGTGCGTTTTGATGACATCTGCCGGTTGAGTTACCAGTGAGGCCAGAATACCAGCAAATATCCCACAGCTGAAATTGACAACTGGAATAAGGGTTGTGTCCAACTGGTCTGAAATAGAACAAAGGAAATACACAGTTATAAATCTCACGTTCCTCATTTAAAATTCAATATAAGTTGCCCACTAATTCCTCCCAAAAGCCAGAAAATTCTGGATTCAAATAAGGTTAAGAATTAAGATTTTAAAGGTGTAACTAATGGGGCTGGCCTTGCAGGACAGTGGTTTAAAGAGCCAGAGCCTACATGGCCAACCATGGCTCAAGTCTCAGCCTGAGCAGCTTGAAAAATGCTGGGCGAGTGTGTGTGTGTGTGTGTGTGTGTGTGTGTGCCCAAAACCCAAGCAGGAGAGAGAAATGGAAGAGACAGGATTATGCTGTGAGAATGTCCCACTGGGGTACTTCCTCCCTCTCTCTCTAGGTAGCACCCGTGCCCTCTGGGAATTAAAAAATTAATTAATTTTTTTAAAAAATAAAAAGCAAGGGAAAAAGCATAATAAATACAAGTAAAATAATAAGAATTGGAAAAGCACCTTTAACACCTGACATCATGAACTGATGCTAGAATATGTGAGTGAAAGAAGGGTGTATATATATAGCCTCAACCTTATCCTCCCACAAAGATACCTGGAAATTTCAAAAGGAAAAATAATTGCGCTTTCAGGGGAGCCATCCAGCAGACACTGCTTCGTATACAAATGATGAATGATAATGGATTAAATTGTCGTGAGCCTCCTGATACACAACATCACTCACATGGTCTCCTCGCTAAAAGTAGATAGCTGATGAAGCAAGCCAGAGTATGAGAGACAGGCATTGTATGTCCCCGTTTACTATACGCCAAACGTCTGCGCTCTATAGCAGAAACGTAAGACTGGAAGGTCCAATAGCAGGGAGGGCGATTGTAGGTATCAGAGGCAGTAAAGGAGAGAGTAATAGGGGGTGGAGGGAAGGGGTCGGGGGAAAAAACCAAAATATTTAATAAATACAAAAACGAAAAGTGATCTGTGGATGTTAATATATATGGTAATGTCTTTGACTTGACTAATATGCACTGTATCTATGCTGGCAAAAACATGTTGTACACTGTAAAGATGTACAGTCAATGTAAATCTAAAAATACGTATACACACAGCTATCTGAATCTAATTGTGAACAATAGGTAAACCCATATTGAGGTAATAAAACTGCCCTACACTCTCGAAAGTAACCAAAAATTGTTACAGAGTACATCATTGGAACAACTAGAGAAATTGGAATATAGACCATAGATTAAAGGAAACATGTTCTACACTGTAAAGATAGATGTACAGTGAATGTAAATCTAAAAATACATATACACACATCTATCTGAATCTAATCGTGAACAACAGATAAACCCATATTGAGGTAATAAAACTGCCCTACACTCTCGAAAGTAACCAAAAATTGTTACAGAGTACATCATTGGAACAACTAGAGAAATTGGAATATAGACCATAGATTAAAGGATTGTAACCATGTGGAACTTCCTGACCTTGGTAAGATGGGTAAATGAAAGGATGTCCCTATTCTTAAGAAAGGCACACTGGGCGGCCAGCAGGTGGTGTAGTGGTCAAGGTGCTGGACTCCCACATGGTTAACCATAGTTTGAGTCTCTGACCCAGTGGCTCGAACCTCACACCTCGAGTGTGTGTGCATGCCCAAAATCACAAGAGGAAAATGAAGAAGGGATTGTGGTGTGGCCATCCCCAGGGGAGACGGGGGTTTGATTTCTCCCTTTCTGTCTCTCTGGCAAGTGCACATGCCCTATAGCAAAAATCTCTTGGGGCGGGGGGTGGGGGGGGGAGAAAAGAAAAGAAATAAGAAAATGTAGACTGAGATATTTAAGAATAAAGAGCATCATGTCTACGACTTACTCTCAAATGGTTCAGGAAAACAATAATTCAATTTACTAGTCTTGTGGCTTTTAAGTTTAAAGTTATTTTTCAATATCAAATTTAAAAAAATTAAGATAGGTCAGCTCCATAGCCTAATGGTTAAGGAAGTCACAAGCAGATCCCACATGGCTATCTGTGTGGTTCGAATCCCAACCTCGGTAGCTTGAAAACACATTGAGTGCAAGTGTGTGCATACCCAAAATCCAAACAGAGATTTGGATTTTGGAGAAATGGAGGAGAATGGATTACAGCATGACCCCACCCCACCCCACTGGGGAGTGCTTCCACATGCTCCCTCTCACTGACGAGTGATGCTCCTTCCAGAAAAAATTTAAAAAATTAGTGATAGATCAAAAAGTTCAAAATGCATATCCATGCTTCTTTATTGTCTTAATTTTTTAGTGCAAGTGAAGCTGTGGCTTGCAGAGTTGACACCTCCTGGTGCCTGGGGAGATAGAGTAAACCTTCCAGAACACCCCCAATGGCAGCTGCCCACCATCATGATGACGGGCCCTCCAGCTTTCCTCACTAAGGCCTGAGCTGCAATTCCTCGTTCACATCATCCACAGACACCTTACTGAATGCGGGGTCACCCTTTTTATTTTTTTAATTTATTTAAAAGAATCATTTTATTTAACATTATTTATTATCATTATTTTTTAATTTGACCAGAAAGAGACAGAGAGAAAAAGGTTAAGTGAGAAAGCAAGCCACCAGGTCCGGGACTCGAATCGCAGTCAGCCATGTGGGAGTCCAACGCCCCTAACTACCCCACCACCTGCCAGCCCCGAATGAGGGTTATTCCATGGGATGTGTTTCTGGCAACACCTTGCTCTGTTCGGGTGGATGTTACTGCCACTGATCTTGCCAATCATTTGGTTCCATCTCCACACAAGTAGAGAACTCAAGACGGGGCTAACTGGGAACACAGCAAGGAGGTGAAAACATTATTTTGCTTTTTAAACCCCTAACCCATTGGTAATTCCTAAATGTATCCAACAAGAAGCACATCAAGTGCTTCCTGAAAACTCTGTCCTCCCAGGTTACACCCTAAAGCTCTGATTTACGAAGCCTCTGACGGGACCCAGCAACGGTAAGATCAAATTTGGGAAGTCTTGTAAGACCTCAGCAAAACAGGCTTTGTCGCCCATTTACCTTCCAGGTTGCAGCGGTCTGAGTACTCTCTGCCTGAGTAGGATATAAACCCCAAAGGGCAGGGGTCACGTCGGGCACACTCACCTCCACATCCTGGACCCAGCGCATTCCTGACACAGACCTGGTGCAGGATGCAGTTCCTAACACTCTGTTAAGAATTTGGAGCTGGGACCAGCAGTTAGCGTAATGGTTATGTCGCTAGACTCCCACATAGTCGACCGCGGTTCACGTCCCGGACCCGGTGGCTTAAAACTCATGCTGGGCGCGTGTGCATGCATGCCCAAGATCTCGAGAGGAGAATGGAGGAGACGGAATTGCAGCGTGGCCATCCCCCCTAGGGGGTGATTTCTTGCTTTCTCTCTCTCCCTCCCTCTCTCTCTCTCTCTCTCTCTCTCTCTCTCTCTCTCTCTCTCTGCCTCTCTTGCGCTCACACATG